TTTTGATAGTGAATTCACTGTGTTAGAGATAAGCCCTCCAATGGTCCACAACCAATAGTATTGCTAGGCATTCTTTCTCATAGGTTGATAAGGTCTGATTCTTGGGCCCCAATGCCTTGCTCACATATGCCACAGGATGACCATTTTGTTGAAGGACAGCCCCTATCCCTTTATCTGAAGCATCAGTCTCTATGACAAAAGATTTGCTTAAGTCAGGTAGAGCTAGCACTGATGCAGTGACTAAAGCATCTTTAAGAGCCTGAAAAGACTGCTGCTGTTCCTGAGCCTAGACAAACACATACCCTTTCTTTAGTAAAACAATGAGAGGTTTGCTAATTGTACCAAATCCTTGGACAAACTTTCTGTAATAACCAGCCATTCCTAAAAAGCTTCTAATCTCTTTAACATTAGCAGGGATGGGCCAGTGCTTGATGATGTTCGCTTTTGTAGGATCTGTAGCCACTCCTTTGGCACTAATAACATGGCCTAGATAGGCCAACTCCTTCTTTGCAAATGAACACTTGGACAGTTTAGTCTTGAACTGATGCTTGTGAAGTAATGTAAAAACTTCCTGGATGTGATGCAAATGTTCTGCCCATGTCTTGCTATACATGAGGATATCATCAATGAAAACTACCACAAATTTTCTCAAAATTGGTGCCAACACTGTATTTATTTCATGCTGAAAAGTAGTTGGACCACCAGTGACCCCATAGGGCATGACCTTATACTCATAATGGCCATTATGGGTTTGAAATATAGTTTTTGCAATATCTTCTTCTGCTACTAAAATTTGATGGAAGCCTGATGACATGTCAAGAGTGGTAAACCACTGAGCTCCCACTAACTCATCAAGTAGCTCATCTATGACTGAAAGAGGAAACTTATTCTTCACAGTCAAGGCATTGAGCATCTTGTAGTCCACACACAGACGCCAGTCGCCGGTTTTCTTCTTAACCAGTAAAACAGGGGAAGCATAAGGGCTCTGACTCTCCTATATCCAACCATTAGCCAAGAGTTGTTGAATTTGTTGCTCAATCTCATCCTTCTGGGCTAAATTATACCTATAAGGCCTTAGTTTGAAAGGTTGAGCCCCAGGTACTAAAGGGATAGTGTGAACTGAAGATCTTTTAGGAGGCAACCCAGATGGGGGTTGGAACAGACTAGAGAACTGATCTATTAATTATTGAACTTCTGGTGGCTTGGTGAACATTGACTTACTGACATCAATAGAATGCAGTTCTAACATACACTATAACTGATCTGTTCTCTCCAAAATAGATAACTCCTGAGGTGTTATTTCCATACAGTTCAATACTTGAGGAAGGATGCCTTGTAATAGAGCCTTGCTACCCTGATGATCAAAGCTCATCCACTTTTCCTTCCAATTAACCTCCATGGGACTATGCTGCTCCAGCCAGTCAATGCCCAAAATGACATCATAACAGTGTAACGACAAGATCTTCAAGGGCAGCTTGAAAGCATAACCACTAATCCACATCAGGCATGCAGTGACTTCATGAGTGCAATTTAATATTTGGCCATTTGCCACTCGAACTTGCATTGGTGATTCAAGTGCAATCCAATTCCTCCACCTGGAAGCCAAAGTTTCACTGACAAAGTTATGAGAGCTACCAGAATCAATTAGAATGACCACATCTTTGCCACCAATGTTACCCATCATTCTAACTGTATTACTGGAGTCTATCCCTTGAACTGCATTAACTAACAAAGACATCAGATCATCACCAGAATCTTCTTCCTCTTGCTGACACTGTTCCTCTGGTTCATCTTGTTGCAGCATTTGCCATAGTTCCTCAACCACATGTAAAGACACAGATGTAGAGCACTTGTGCCCCAGGCTCCATTTCATGCCACATTTGTAACAAAGCCCTGTTGCTTTTCTATAGTTCATAAGTGTTGCAGCTTTATCTTTTGGTTGATACCTTTTTGCATTATCACTGCCCTTCTTTGCTGTACCAGGACTGAGCATAGTACCTTTAGCAGGAGATGATGAAGCTGCATTATGGTCATAAGAAGAACCACCAGACCTACCAGAGTATCTGTAACCACTGCTGAATTCATTCTTCTTGTAGTCTTTTTAGGAACTTCTCTGGTGTACTCTTCCCGCAACAAGGCAATAGAACTAGCAGCATCTAGATTTGTAGGTTTGTGCACAAGTACTACAGCTCTAATATCATCTTTAAGACCATCAATGAATCTATTGGTAATGGTGGCAGTGCTAAGTTTAGGGTCATGAGCAAGAATTTGGTGTACTAATGTATCAAACTTCTCAATGTAATCAGCAATGCTATCACTCTGCCTAATATGAAAGAATTGCCTAAGCAGTAAATTATGCTGATCCTTTTCAAATCTATCACACACCAATTTACAGAGTTTAGGCCAAGCAAGTTCTTGTATTAAAATCCAGCGACTGTGCCCAAAATTCAGCATTACCAGTAAAATGTATGTAAGCAGTCCTAGACTTGCGAAATTCAGGAACACCATACATGTCAAAGTAATTATTGCACTTCTTAATCCAAAGCTTGGGACAACTACCATCAAACTCAGGGAATTCCACTGGTGGTAAAGCATGATTCAGATAGAATTGCGCCATATCAGGAAAAGTTGTAGGAGTAAGAGTTGTAGGAGTAAGAGTTTGGGAGAGCCTCGCACTTGTGACCGGGGTAGGAACGAGGGTAGTGACAACCCCGTTACCCAATCCCCGGTGATCGTGTTCATCGCCGTGGCCACTTGGTCCAGAAGTTGCCCCGTAGGGTTTGGTGGATGGAGAGACCATATTTGATCTAGTGAGATCTAGATTCTCTGTATCATACACCTTGTAAGCAGAGCTTGCCGCTGATTCCTGCTTCACAACGATTTGATCCACCTTGGCGCAGAGGTTTCAAACGCTGATTTGGAGTTCCTCTACATTTGCTTGCACTTTAGGCTTCCAACCAGATAGCTCTTAGAGAACAGCAGTGTTAGCCTCCAGCGTCTTCTTCATTGCCTCATGCTGTTCATCCATCTGAGCCTGCATCCCCTTGAGGAACGCCCCAAAATCGCCGATCTGGTTTTCCATCGTCGAAATCCTCTTTTGCTCTCTAGTCTGGTACTGAGGTCGGAGAAGATAGTCCGGCGGCGACGCCAGACTTGCCGAATCTCCGACGAATTGCTCTCCGCCGAAGTGAGCGAAATCGCACCGAGATCGAAAGCTCCGAGTACCAATTGTTAGGATCCTCAACACATAACAACGATTGGTGGCTACGATATCGATTTAGTGTCTGGATTTAACACGAATTCATCGAGGAGTCACTCAGATTCGATTACAAGCGCGGCGAGCAAATTGCTCCCGGCTCCTATTCTCCAGACGCAGCCGGTCAATCTATTCTCAAGTTCTAGCTTGCTCTCCACGATGCTCTCTCCCTTCCTCTTATCGTCTCAACGGCTGACCAAGTCAGGCCCGAAGTAGAGTGGGTTGGGCTTCAGTGCACGCTTAGGCTTGACAGAGCTTGGCCCATCATCAGCTGCTGCTTCCTTCTCAGAAACCATGTCTTTCCTTTCTGCTTCTTCTGTAGCTTTGGCGCCCAGTATCCTGACACATGTTTGTCTTGCGGTGTTGCCTTGACCCCGACTGCTGCCGAGGTTTCCCAGCAAATAGGGAGAAGCTCCATCTCGATTAGCTCTGATGCATACCTCAATAATCAAACTTTATAATCTTTATAATTAATAATTCCATCACAGCTTTTAACTATTGTAAACAAACTTAATACTATTAGATTTTCAATACTATAAATCTACATTAACAAATAATACTATATAAAAATGAATAATTAAAATATAATTAGAAAACTTTTATGTTAAAATAATAAATTGAGGGCTTGTTCGTTTGAACTTATCAGCTGACTTATCAGCTAGAATATACAATATTTCTCTCTCACACCAAAACAGTTTCAGCCGGCTTTAATACCAATGAACAGGCGGAACATCCTCGCTTGTAATAGTTTCAGCCGGCACCCGTGTTGACCCTTTAGCTAAATCATGTTCCGATCAGAAATGACATCTCTTTTTTCTTTTTAAGAGAAAAAGTGAGGCATTTTATTACTCAACAATGTAATTATAGTCCTGAGCAATAAATATTCTCAATGCAAGTCGGCACTAAGAACCTCCAAATGGCCGAGTATATCATGAGTGACATGTACTCGATCCATCTGTCTCAAAATTGTTATCATAATATTTGTCTAGATCCATGGCTAAAGTCTTAGCTATTTTAAGACATACTGAGTATGTGACATATTTAAGATGTATTATATATATGTTCTTGCATGCAATCAATCACACAAATGCTAGTATTTGCACGTGTAATTCCCTAGCTAAGTCACACGTAATATTTGAGTATACAAGAACTTCGCATCATACTAAGTGGTTTTTATTTTACTTTTTTTTGCAAAAAGGAATAAAGTGTTTTTTTTACGTTCTATAAAGAACATAACAAAGTCAGCAATATAATAAAATTTCTCTTTAATAAATATCACATTTTTTCTAACTTGCTGACATTTGGACTTGGTAACAACCGAGAAAAGATTGGATGTACATGTTAAAAGAGACTTTTAGAAAATGCAAATTCTGAGATGATGGATATCTAAGAATGGAATTCATACTTATAAGCATGATGAGTATCTAAGATGATGAATAACGCTATTGTTTAGTTTATTTGTCTTAGGAGTTCTAGGAAGCAAACCTCAGACGTCCTTTCGGTACGAAGCAAAAGGGGTATTTTGTGGTACAAGGTCAAGGATGATGGAATTATGACATTTTAAAACCAAGAGTGGTGTAGTAATACAATTTGTGTCCGAGTTTTTGGATTTTTGAAGTTGTGTAAAGATCTTGGGATTTTCTAAAGTCAGAGATCCCAACGGTGGCAGATCCAGAGGTGAGAACCCAGCCTGCATCATGGGCCCACTAGTCAGCGAGACAAAATCCTGAGACGCCTAAACCCCATGGCGCCGCCGCCCGTGTTTCCACTGATGGCGGCCACCTCCACCTCCCCGCATTCAGCCGGCGGCGGCGGCACCATCGGCGACGACCTCCACTGCTTCCTCCGCTACGGCCTCCGCACTCACTCCTCCGTTCTCTGCGCACACGCCTTCCTCCTCCGCCGCGGCCTCCTCCTCGGCCACGCCGTCCCCGCCGGCCTCCTCCTCACCGCCTCCGCCTGCTCCGCCGCCTCGCCGCCGGCTCACATCCTCCGCCTCCTCCTCCACCACCTACCTCCTCCCCTGCCGGTATTCTCCCTCGACGCCGCACTCCGCGCCGTAGGCCCTCGCATCCCCTTCTCCGCCCTCCTCTCCCTCTTCGCGGCCCTCCTCCGCTCCCACCAACCGCTCTTCCCCGACCACTTCTCCTTCCCTCCTCTCCTCTCCGCTGCCGCCTCCGCCGCCTCCCCGCGGCTCCACCTCCGTTCCGCGCTCGCCCTCCACGGGCAGCTCCTCCGCCGCGGCCTCCTCTTCTCGCCGCCGCCCCACGCCGCCAACGCCCTCCTCCACTTCTACGCCACTGCCGGCGGCCTCTCGTTCCGCCTCGCTACATGTTCGACGAAATGCCATTGAGGGACATCGTGTCCTGCAACACCCTGATGACGGCCTTAGCTGGCACACCCGGTGGCATTGATGCCACACGCCAGCTGTTTGAGGGAATGCACCTGAGAAATTGGGTGTCATGGAATGTCATGATTAATGGGTACGTCAAGGCGAAGCGGCCTGAGCAGGCACTGGAGGTGGTCCGGTGGATGGCAGGGGTAGGAGTGAGGGGGACGGCGACAACCATAGTCGGGGCAGCCACGGCGTGTGCTAGGCTGGGGAGGCTAGGGGCTGGGAGGGAGGTGCACTGTGTGTTCCTGCGCCGTTTTGAGGATGATAACCTGTTGGTTTGGACTGCATTGATTGATATGTATGGCAAGTGTCGGAGGGTTGGGGTTGCAAGGAAGTTGTTTGACCGGCTCAGAATGAGGAACCTGGTATGCTGGAACGCGATGATCATAGGGCACTGTGTGTATGGTGAACCTGGTGACGGGATCAAACTATTCCAGCATATGATCACACCAGGTGGGTTCAGATTTCCAATATTAGTTCTTCAGAAAGCAACATATTGCTACATTTGCATTTTTGAACTTTATATATGTATCTAACTCCTGTGCTGCCTTTTCAGGGAATGTGCAGCCAGATGGAGTCACTTTCATTGGTGTTCTCTGCGCCTGTGCCCGTTTAGGCCTCTTGGAAGACGGAAGGGCATATTTTGAGCAGATGAGCACCGTGTACAACCTCAAGCCGACATTTGCACACTACTGGTGCATGGCCAATCTGTATGGGAGTGTTGGGCTTCTGGAAGAAGCCGAGGGCCTCTTAAAGAGTATACCAGAGGATCTGAAGGCACGGGCATTGGGTGGTTTGCTTGGGCTGTGTCGGTTCCGGGGGGATTGGAGACTTGGGGAACGGATAGCTCTCAGGTTGATTGAGCTTGAACCAAGCAACAATGCTCACTATGCACTGCTTTGCAATGTGTACGCTGCTGTAGGGAGATGGGAAGAAGTTCACAGGGTGAAGGCTATCATGAAAGAGAGAGATGAGAGGTTCAGGCCTGGACATCGTCTGGTGAACTTAAATGAGATTGTTGATGAATTCAAAATTAGGGAGAGGCATCCTGAGAATCAGGAGATATATGCCATCATGGACGACTTGGCGTCAAGGCTGAAGCTTGATTGTAAAGAAAAGGAGCAAAGTGATTTTGGAATGAAATAACTCAAATACACACCTGGGAATTGTTTTGGAGCTGCACAGGTTTCGAACGGGCAGCTTCAGGAGGTTAAGATAGGGTGGGTCTGAAGTAGTGCATCTTCAGATGTGTCATTTGTGCAGAACCACTCACTGGTTATGTAGTGACAGAAATGCTTGGTATCAATAGTCGGTAGTTGCAAAAAGTGACAATTATGGTAGGGTTGAGATGGACAGGAAGAACGAAGAAGTAACAAGCCTTGGGAAGCAAAGATAACCTTTCTGTTGTTGCCCCTCTAAGTATTAACAAGTGGACAGTTTTCTCCAATGAAGAACACAAGTATTTTCTGTAAACCCTTGCTTGCAATTTGGTGAAATGATATTTCAGTGCTTTTCAGTGCTTTTCATAAATGTGCGTCCGTGCCTTGCCTTGTCTGGCTTTGAGAATAAGATTGCATATTTGCGTGGAGGTAATACTGTCGGTTTTGACAGTAGCCAAGTTACCCTGGTATATGTTTTCAGGTATTCAGCCTGTCAGGTAAAAGTATAAGTTGACCACTGACCTCGCTGGCTTTGTTACTGGAATGGTAGAACTGCTATTTGACCTTTGGTGACTTATCCTTTTATCTTCTTCCTCACAATGTGACATGGGATGTGACTGTGTGAGTGTGTTATATGCTTTGGAGCACAAGGGAGACACAAGTTTGACCTCAACTCAAGGTTACTAATCTTCAGAACTCTTCTCATTCTTCCCAAAAAGATTATTTTCATCTATAAGCATCCTGAAATGTGTTTTTCTTTTGGTTCGTGCATCAGGATAGCTGGCACTTGCTCTGCAGTTGTTGGCTTCACTGGTGTCACAGATTTCATAGCTCTCAACAGCATTCTTGAGTTACATAAGTTCCTTTAACTCTCTGGTTGGATTAATGAGATATTTGAGTTCATACCCTGAGAATTGAAAACACTGATAACTGGCTTCAGTTGAAAATTTTTGTTCGTAATGTTCTCACTCAGCTGATGATGGCCTTTAGTTACATTTTTTTATAAAAAGAATCTGAACTTGTTTTTAAAATAATGTCGCCCCAGATACTGTGGTGTCTTCCAATGCCATCAGTCATTGTCAGAAAAAATATTTCATTTCATGAATTGGACATCGTAACACAATCGCAGAAGTTATTGGTTTTTGGCTAGCGAACTCTCATGCAATGCAATGTGGTACAAGGGAAAAAGGCTTCTTCTGACTGGTATGCAGTCTTCCTGCTGGCAACCTTTTTTTTCAGTCTTCTGCTCAGCAGTGAACTTATATTAGCATGGTTCATTTTATCTTTTATTACTCAAGGTCCTAATGTAAGTGGAAAGAGTTATCCTGTTGCTTGGATATCTGTGATCCACCTTCTCTGGGAAAGTTACCAAGCCCTCAGAAGGGATGTTTCATTTCCTCAGCTCCACTTACCTGCCTTGGTAGTTGGTACTCAGCAGGATCAGACCATACCCTCTCTCAAGGGAGGAAGCAAATCAGCTGGTAGGCATACTTAATTTTTGAAATAGCTGTCTATTGTATATTAGTAAAAACCTTGATGTTCGAAGTTTGAAACTTGCATGATTAGTTAGGAGCATACCGGTTGAAAGGAAGTACAAATTATTTTTGTTGCTTGTCCTGGTAACAGGAACTATGGTACTATAGTCATCATAGGTAACAAGTCTAGTGCTTCTGTCCTGCTGGATGATCACCTGAAGAAAATTCCAGAGAATGTTGGGCTGGTGTATCTTCTAGAAAGAGAATGGTGGGATTCTACAGCAAACTGGGAACATGTTCTGTCATTAGGAGAGCAAAGGAGGCTTGTGATGGTCAGTATTTACTGGCAGGCCTCCATTATTTTGCTCTTTTTATTTTTATTATATATGCTCTTAAATATTTGAAAGTCACTGTCTTGTTTTTGTCAGGCTCATTGTTTTTCCATCATCCTATCTCCTAAGTTTGGTATCCTCATCGAGTGCATCAAGTATGTATTCTATCACAATGCTCTTTTGACTTTTCCATTTTTCTTTCTCTTTGCTTATCAACTGCTGTGGGTCCAAAAATTTGTACTTGATTGCAGTGCTACTACTGTTGATGTTGAAGAACATATGTACAGGCTTGCAACTAACATGGGCACACCTGTGGTCACTTCCTCACAAGTAATTATTTGGACAATCCCTGCGATGGCATAAAAGTTATGATGGTAGTGGATGGTTGTTTCTTAAAAAACAAATGAAAACCAAAAGGATGCTGACTGTTCTTTGTCCACACCTTTGCATTCTGTAATGAATTCATCGTGTTGAAACATTTGTATCTGGGGCACACCAGTTCCCTCCATTTTTTTACATGTCATATTAACTTTGTCCGAAGTTAAACATTTATATCTTTAACTATTGATATTTAAAAAAAATATAGGTTCAAGACATAAGATTTATGTCTCTAGATTCATTGTAAGAAATACTTTCATAATATATAATTTATATGTTGTTAAACTGTAAGATTTTTTTTGAAATAGATGGTCAAATAGTAATCTTTGACTTGGGATAAAGCTAATGTGACATGTACAAATGAATGGAGGGGGAATACGACAAGCAAGACATTAAATAGCATAGATGCTGCTGGCGTGCATCCAACAAAATATAAGGACGTCTCTGACAATATAAGCTATTCACTAGCTCTAAGCTGAGAGGAGAGAGAGATTGCAGCAAGCAACCTTGAACATTGTGTTACGAGAGTGATTTTTAAGTCTACGCTAGTCTCTTACTTTTTGTATTTTTTAAAGAATTTTTAGCTAGACCATTGACAATTAGTTGTTTGAAAAACAAGAAAATGTAAGAATGGAGGAGGATGCAACAAAACGTCAAGGGCCTGAAATCAGGGCGCAGGGGAATTTCCAACAAAATTGTCCTGCAATTAGATTTCAGAAAAAGGACATTTAATGCTGCATGCGCTTGAACTTATCGTAAGATTAGATGTCTCTCATAATCTGAAGATCAGCCACCTTTTTTTGGGAAATTTTTTTGAAACTAAACAAGGCGTAAGCTATTCACTAGGGATTTTTCGTGAAATATGCGAGACTATCTTTTAAGTCTGGATTTTTCGTGAAATATGCGAGACTGTCTTTTAAGTCTATGCTAGTCTCTTACTTTTTGTATTTAGTAATTAAAGAATTGATTCAGGTAGCTAGACCATCGGAGACGCCCTAAGGTGTAGTTGAGAAATTGAGGGAAAAAACAAGAAAATGTAAGAAGGCTGGACGAGGGAGGAGGAGGATGCAACAATTGTGAACTCAGTTCTCAAGGGCCTGAAATCAGGGCGCAGGGGAGGGCACAAAACGTCCAAGCGTCCTGAAGAGGAGGATTTCAGGAAAAAGAGCAGTGGCTGTGTGTTCATGTTCAGCCTTGAACAGATATATCTAATGTGCCTTCATTATCAGTAGAGACGCTCGTTCCTTGCTCATTCGGTAACAGCAGACGCTGTCTGAATATATATCAGCCGTGGCGACTGATGGAAATAGAGAATACCTGCATTTTTTTCTCTCACAATAAAATAACATCACCATCATTTCTTATCATCACTTTAGCAGAAACCATTAGTGTCGACGAACAGCTCGGTACATGCTTTTCCTACGGTGGTGGTACATGCTTTTCTTATGGTGGTGGTTGCCGATTGCGGTGCGTGCGTGTGAATGTGATGATGGCGGAGTGCTCGCCCTCCCTTTGCTTCCTCGTCAATCATCAATCATCAGCAGCAGCAGGTAACTAATTCATGCTAAAATAGAGGGAAAGGGAACCCTGTAGCCTAACAGCAGAAACTAAAGCAGAGAATTTGGCAGTCAGGAAACCAGGCAGGCAGCCAAGAACAACTCTGAAAATGCATGCTATGCTCGCGACAGCCGACAGGTGCAACGCCCTTGGAGCAAGCTGGTCGCTTTCGAGCCATCCTCGTCTTCATTTAAAATTCGAGGTTTGCAATTGCAAGACGCCTTGGTTTTTTTTTTTCTTCAGCCTTCAACAGATATACTCCTACTAATGTGCCTTCATTCCTTCAATAGAGACGCTCGTTCCTTGCTCATTCGGTAACAGCAGACGCTGTCTGAATATATATGCAGCCGTGGCGACTGATGGAAATAGAGAATCATCTGCATTTGCCATGTCATCCTCCATGGTAAAAAATTAGAATAGAACATGTATGCACCTCAATCATCTCGATACCATCATTTGGTGGTTGGTGCACACTTTAGCAAACACGGCAGGAATGCTGCGATTAGTGTCGACGTGTCGGTCAGCACAGCAGGGACCAGTCAGCAGCACAGCTAGCTGGAGTCTACTTCTAGTATTTAGCAGAAAACAAAGGAGAGTCTACTAGTATTTAGCGCGTGTTTAGTTGGATGAAAGTTGGAAATATAGGTCATCAACCAAACCTTGCAACCTTTTCAAATGACTTTAATTTATTTGACAAAAAAGTGTTCAATCATGTTGACGAGATCAAAAAAATGCATCAAGCTCAAAACTCTAATTTAAGCTTTCGTAAGATTCTTTGACCTATGATGACCACCAAGAAGTGCTTTCATGGAGTTGCACTTTTTAGGATTGAAGATTGGGAACTAAACAAACTTTGTTTTTAGGAAGAAAACTAAGGAACTAAGACGACGACACGAGAGGCTTCAGTTTTTTTAACTTTCTTTTTTCAAAATGGCTCTCGACGTGCAGGCACGTATGTACCATATGCTAATCTGCTCTACTGTATTACGTATTATTCAACTGACCTTGTTCAATCAAGGTGTATATCCCTTTTTTTAGATTAATTAAGGTGTATATCCTTGTAATAACAATAGTTTCAACCGGCACCCATGTTGACCTTAGCTCAACAATCGTGTTCCAGAATGACGTCTCCGATGATGGATTTCTCCCTCGGCAGCAATGAGTGCAAACCATGAATGCCTGCATATATATTAGTACTACTAGTAGAACTAATGTACTACCTCAATTTCGAAAAAAGAAACAATTCTAAGTCTGTTCAAATTTAAATTATCTTATATTTAACTAAATTTATAAGAAATAGTATCAACATGTATGAATTCAACCACCGACGGCGGGCTGGGATTCGCCTTTGACCTAAGTAACTATAACTCAAAACTCGTATCCAGTCAGGATGTTCATCCAATCACCGACAGCCACGTCACTTGTCAGCTTCCACTTGAGCCCCGTCAGCGGCCGAACATGGCAATCTTGTAATATACCTTCTATTAGTCAAACTAAAGAAGCAGCACTAGTGCTCTTTCTTCTTGTTTATTATTTTTTTGTTGGTTATTAGATAGAAAATATTGCTAGCTTGATTCCCTGCGTCTGCGTGCTCTTTTTTTTATGAAGTCAGTTGGTACGAATAAACTAGCGGCTGCTGAGGCTGAACAGTCATCATCGTGAAACAGAAACAGTACGTACATCAGTTTCAAATGCTGCTAGATTTATTTCGATAATTGCGTGTACTAAATTATTACTAAACCGATGCAGAATTGGTTGACCCTGCCTGTTTCGTGGACCCTTGGAGCAAGCTGGTCGCTTTGGAGCCATCCTCCTCTTCATTTCTTGAATTCGCAAGTAATAATGTGGCATCAACAGGGACGCTTGTTCGGTGACAGCAGATGCTGTCTGTATATATGCAGCCAGCATGTTTGCACGGTGATTTTAGAATACTGATGTTGGTTTGTTTTGTAAAAAAAAAAAACATAATTTCGACGATACTTAACAGGGACATGTCCTGTCCCATTTATACACACCTCAATCAGTGCAAGCGTTTAGTTGTGGAAAGTTTGATTTTGGGCCGTTTGCATGTGAAACTTTAACTTTGATTAAGTATCGATAATTAGTGTTCAATTATGGATTAATTAGGCTTTCTCAAAAATCTTTTCGTCTCGCAATTTCCATCCATTCTTCAAATTAAGTTAATTAGTTTTTTTTGAATCTACATTTAATGCTCAGTGATGTTTTCGTTAAACATATACTATGAAGATTCGATGAGCATCATGTCATTCCTGATGCATCCATGATATTTATCTTGTGCAAGACATGCAATTTTACCGGAATTTGTGATGGGAACTAAACACGCGCTCATCTGGACCCCAGCATTTGGAGGTTAGTGCACACTTTAGCAAACACGGCAGCAATGCCGCGATCAGTGTCGCCGTGTTGGTCAGCACAGCCAACTAAAACGACTTATAATTTTCTTTTTGGTTTCTCCAAAACGACTTCATAATTGAGTAGTATATGGACTAGTAGCAGCAGAAAACAAAGGAGACACGAGAGGCTTCAGTTCAGGCTCTCGACGTGCAGACAAGTATGTATGTATCATGTATGCTGCTGCTGACCCGTTTTTTAGTGTACAGTGTACATAGCAGCACGTACTGTATTATTCAACTGATCTTGTTCAATCAAGGTGTATGTATCCTTGTGTAATAATACTTGGTATGCTATCCTTGTGTAGTAATAGCATAACAATAGTTTCAACCGGCACCCATGTTGACCTTAGCTCAATAATTAATCGTGTTCCAGAATGACGCCCAGGAACCGTCGGATCCGCCTTTGACCCAAGTCAGCGTAGGTCAAAAACCCCTATCCAGTCAGCAGGTTAATCTAATCACAGACTGCCACGTTACTGTCAGCTGCCACCTCAGCCAAGTCAACAGCCAAACATGGCAGTATTCCATTATACCCCACATTAGTCTAATCGTAGATTGTTTGATCTAGCACTATTCTAAGATTATTATTATTATTACATACATCGTTTCTAGGACGGACGAGGGGAGTATCACAGAAAGAAAACACTACGCAATGTATTTGAAACTATGAAGTTTCTTCTATGTTGCTTCCGCAAATTTGAAAAATAATATTTTATTTGAATCGGATGTAATGTGATGCCAAAAATGTTGTAACGAATGATGGCGTGTGTTGAATCACTACGATCTTGGTTTGTATGTTGACAGTTGCCTAATTGATTTCCGGACTACCGGGATTAGCCGAATAAGCCAGCCGAACAAGCCTCTTGTTTGTCTATCTTTTTTGTTGGTTAATTAACGGCGGAACATGGCAGTGTTCCAATTCTAATATACCCTATATTAGTCAAATTGTAGGTTGCTCGGAATAAACTAGCGGCGTCTGCGGCTGCGGCTTAACGATCACCATCGATCGCGAAA